TCATATTGCAAAGCCTCACATAGAAAAAAAAATTCTCATTTAATAATCTTAAATTAAGTATTTTCGTTACAGTTTTTGTTTCAAATTAATAAAATATTGTTAAATCCACCTAAGCTGGGTCTGCGTCAACACACCTTTATAGTATTAATTTGCATCAGTGTTTGCTTCTTCTTACAGTGACATTTCTCTCCTTGGTTTATGATTCTACTGAAAATAAAACTCTTTTATTTTAGACTCACTGAAAGAGACTGAAAATCCAAGGGAGGCAGAGGAGTAACAACATGTCCAAGCTGGGAAATATATCTCCGGGCCTCTCAATGACAAGAAGTAAGTTACTGGAAAAAAAAGCGGAGAGTCCTCAGACTTGTGATCAGTGCGGAAAGAGTTTCACCCGAAAAGAGAAGCTCAAAGAGCACATGAAAATCCACACCGGAGAGAAGCTGCCTACGTGTGATCAGTGCGGGAGGAGTTTCACATATAAAACGTCTCTTAGAGTGCACATGAAAATCCACAGCGGAGAGAAACCGCACACCTGTGATCAGTGCGGGAAAAGTTTCACACATAAAGGAACCCTTAAAAATCACATAAGAGCTCATACGGGAGAGAGGCCGTACACGTGTGATCAATGTGGAGTTTGTTTCAAACAGAAACGAAGTCTTGAGGATCACTTGACAATTCACACTGGAGAAAAGCCGCACCAATGTGATCAATGCGGGAAGAGTTTCAGAAAGCCACACACTGTTAGACGACATCTGCTTACCCATTCTAGAGTACGGCTGTTTCCTTGTGACCAGTGCGATAAAGCTTTTTTTAGGTTAGATGCCCTGAAGGATCATCTGAGAGTTCATACGAAGGAGAGGCCTTACACGTGTTTTTTGTGTGGGAATTGTTTTAGACATTCGAGTAGTTTAAACAAACACAACTGTAGAAAGGTGTGAAGAATCACATGCGCTTTCATTGTGGAAAGACGTTTGTTAGAGATGCTGATTTAAAACTGCGCCTGATGGATCACACAGAAAAACCTTACAAGTGTTCACACTGTAACAAGAATATCTGAAAGTGTATGAGAGGATCCACACTGGAGGAAACGCGTACAAGTGTTCATAATGAGATGAGATTTGTTGATTCAGTATGTCAACGTTAATGAGATGATCCACACTGGAGAGAAACCGTATCCCTTAGCTCAGTGATTGGCAAACTCGGTCCTGGAGGGCCGGTGTCCTACACAGTTTAGCTCCAACTCTAATCAAACACACCTGCTTATAGGTTTCTAGTGATCTGGAAGCATAGATATATACACTAGATATCGCATAGGGACCCTGAGAAAGCGTCAATAGCGCCTCCACATTGGTACAGTGCTCCCAGGACAAATGTCATTCAACCGCACTAGTCAAGACAGTGTTATTACGTGAAGATGTGGTACTTTAGCGCTGTCTCCGGGTGTAGTAACGAGCAAACAAAGAAAATAAAGCACAAAGGCAGAACATTTCATAGGTAATATTAAGTTTTTTTTTCTGTTTTTGTATGTTCTGAACTTTTGTGCCAATCAGGTAACGTTATTGATGATGACAGTCACTTACTGCATTCACCATACGGCAAAGCAGCTCCAACTCGCACTAAACACTTGGCTTATGCTAGTTTTGTAGAATAAAATCAGCAAACAATGCAAAAGAAATGTGACAACGAGATGCTGCGCTGCCAGAAACTTGTATTATTGTCGGCTAACGTTAGTGAAAGAGTCGTTCGGGGGATTAATTCACAAACGAATCGCTGCCTCCGTCAGTATGAGAAGTGAAAGCAGGAGAGGAGGTGTGTTTCAGGACATGATTAGATCAAATTTAACAGGGAGGGTGAATAGTACATTTCTGTACACACAAAAACACAAGCTTATTGTCAGGAATGCCCGTGCGGTCACTGACCCATCAGAGTAGAAAAGTGATGTAAAATTATAATTTTCGTAATTAGAAAAAAAAAAATTACATACTATCATCCAGGAAAACTCCCGATCATAGATATATGTGTATATGTGTATATCTCTGGATTTGGATGGCCACAGTCCTCCACTGTACCTTGGTCCCGCATTCATTTCAAAGGAGCGCTACCCTGTAGCAAGATGGCGGCGCTATTGACGCATTCCGTCCAATAGACAACAATAGGCCAGGCGACATCTAATGTATATATCTATGATCTTGAAGACACTGATTAGCTTGTTTAGGTGTGTTTGACTAGTGTTGGAACAAAACTCTGCAGGGACACCGGCCCTCGAGGATCAAGTTTGCCCATGCCTGCCTTAGCTTCACCATATTTGCGCACATATGGTGACCTTAAGTGATACAGTTTCTTACCTGTGTGTATCCGCTCATTAACTTTGACAAAAAGGAAGTCTTAGGAGCCGATCACACCGATAGCACATTTACGTTCCAAAAACGCGAGGCACATCGCACTGCCTTTTTGTTGACAATTATTTAAAGTCGCTAGGCAATGACTGAATCAGCTGGGTATTTTGCTAGAGTGTTGCTGTTGATATTTTTTATAATTTTAATATTTAATAATATTGTGATATTCAAGATATGTGAAGTCATACAGCTCCAGATAACTCAGAACAGCAACCACACACCTTTCCTTCATCCTCAAAAGCTACATCCTCTCCCTTGTTGTCTTGACAACATAAACATTGCAGGCACCTCAACGGAAACCCCGCCTCTGCTTTTATTTGATTGGAAAATGAAACAGACGCGACTGGCGTAATGTGCTTTTTCTGCTCAGAGTTGACTTATTTTTCAACAGCGTGCGCAAGGGAAAAAAACGTGAGGCGCAGCAGGCAGTTAAAGCGCTCGCGGTAGTTAGTAAACCATTCAAAAAAGGCGCCTCTTAAGGCATAAAGCGAGGTCAGTGTGATCAGCCCCCTAAGGATCACATTACAATTCACTGGAAAAGTGATTTTTTTTTGTTGTTGTGTTGCCAAATACATTGTGTCACAGCCATTTATTCAAACCATGAAACTATGCAACAGAACTGTAATACATGTTAGGGATAAAGTACATCCAGCCGGTTGTTTTCACAGGCAGCTAATATGAAGCCTGAATGCTTTATTCTGTGGAAACACCCGCCTGGATGTACTTTATCCTGCATATTTCACAGCTACTTGACACAAAGTGTTCAAAATTGTCATGAGCCTTAATAGTTTAATTAATTATTTAATTAAATGTGAAGCTGACAGAAATGAAAATGGCTGAATGGAGCATATTCTAACCTGTGGACCTCAGCGATCCTGCAGGTGGGCCACAAGAATTAAAATAACTCTCAATATTAAACTAGAATTTTTGTATTTTGTTATTAATATGCTATATTAAAATGATTGCAGTAATGCTCTTTCTCCTGTTCTCTGATTGATTACTTCAAAGTCGGCGTAAAACCGCCTCATGATCGTGTCTGCAACTAGTACATGGAAGTCTGTTTATTCACAAACTATACATGAAATGAAAGTGAAAGTCTATCTTTGTGTATATTTGTGTGAACTAGTTAATATATCTGCATGGTTGTTCTAATTAATGTCCTGGGAATGTTTTATAACAAACGGGCAATAGCGAGGCTCAATGGTGTTTCTGCCATCGAATGTAAAATAAACTAGCATATGAGATTCAGACGCGCTCTGGCAGAGCTGTTCATTGTTCCTGTCAGCGATCTCCCTATAATATCCAACCGCCATCAGATTGATGCGTTTCAACAGATTTAGGGTATTTTACTGTATAACTCCTGTACTAACCTACAAATTATTCAGTCACAAAACGTAGTCTGACAGACCAGCATACAACTATGGATGTGAACAGGATGATAGTTCAGCAGATGTTATCTTGGAATAAGACACCTTGGAATGGTACGACTGACCAATCAGAATCAAGTATTCAAGAGAGTCAAAAAGAATAATTTTTACACTATTCTGGAGCCTGGTGCCACCTGAAGAAAGGTAAAAGCTGCTGCTTTTTCTCTTGGATCTTGCCTTGGCGCTGCTGCTGAGGGATTGAGATACACTGGTCAATGTTTGCATATATACATGACTGTATAGGTTGTTTTCACATGACGTCATTAATGACACAAGAAAATTCAGATGAAGGGCAGGAAGTGATTCTTCTGCATAGAAATCGCTATCAGAACATCATAATGTTTCTGTTTGATGTTCTTTATAATTGTTTAAATCGGCCAAAATAAGTAATGTCAAACCGCTTTTATAGACTTCCAAAAGTTTTTCCTCTTAATGGGAGGAAGTTCAAGAACCTGGCTGACAAATGTAAGAAAAGGCAACATGTAATAAACATTTATTGAATACATCCATGTGTAGAAACTTTTTTTGTACGTGATAATTTGTATGACAGGACCAATAGAGATTATACACAGGCCTAGATATGTGTATAAATATGTTCATGTGTTGTATAAAAATCAGATACTAACACCCACAACATTTTAAACACAAATACAAATAAAAAAAAGAAACAAAATCAAGAGAAGCCAATTTTTTTTTAATTTAGTTGAAATTCTCTAGTTTGTAATTTTTGTAATTCTCTAGTTTTGTAAATTTTTTTTTGCAATATTTAGCTTGAATTTAATTGTATTTAAATTTTCAACTTTCAATTTCTGAATATGTTTGGTAACTAAAATATTATTTATATATATATATATATATATATATATATGTATGTTAAATATATTTGTTTGCATTTGCATTGCAAATGCACCAAAATACATTGTGTATATTCACTGAGAAATAGATAAAAATATTCATTTTCAAAATGGGGTGTACTCAAATATGCTTAGTACTGTAGTTCACCATGTTAAAAAAGAGGCAATAATGCATCAAAGTCTTAAGGTGAGATGTTAAATTTTTTAACAAGCTATACAATTATTCTCCCGCATGCTTAAAGGTTCTGACCAATGCAAATGGCTGCATTTTAATGAAAAGCCTTTTATTAAACCTACATCCATATCATTTAAAGGTCATCGTACCCTCCTTCCCTCTAGGTGGCGGAATGTGCACATAAGAGTTGGTTTGCCAACCGGAAAAAGAAGAAGTATTTATGAAACGGCAGTGGGGAGAGAAGTTTGAAGAGGAAATAAAATCGAAGAGACTGAAGAACTAAGAGGTTGATGCTTGTTTCTGCCACTCATTTGTGATTCTGAAGTACATTAAGGTCATAAAACATGAAGCAGCAACAGTTAAAAGTAAAGTTGGTTTTATAGTCGCATATTCATTGAGATCTTGTGATACTCCTTACGTTGTTTACCATGGCACTTTAAATATTTAGTATGAAATAACATGTATGTATGACTTGAAAAAGGCATTAGCACTATTTAATAGACTGTAAACAATGTTGTACTTTAATAGTCATTAGCTGCTGAAATGATTTCTCTGTTTTGAAATTGCAAATAATACTATTCTGTAATTAAAGTATTAAGGAAAATGTCCAATTGTGTGAATATAAAACCAGCTTTAAGTTACCTCAATGTTTTACTGATGTTGTTGTCAGAACAATAATAAATAATAAAAGTGACAGACTGGTTTTCAAATGGAGAAAATAATACATTTGACAAGAGTTTCTGTCAGCTTTGCATAAATGTGATCATACTGCATTTTTAAAAGGACATCAAACTAGTTATGGGACTATAACCGTTTTCAAGCAATAACGTATAACCGTTTTCAAGCAATACAGTATACGATTTTGACGGTATGATAACCTTGGATAAAAATATAACGATTTCACAGTATTGTAATTATGGCTCTAAAATATGTTCTTTTTAAATGTCTGAGTAAAAAAAAACATTTAAACTTTTTCCCCTTTGAACACAATAGATTTTGTTTTGAGAAACATTTATAATATATTAGAGCAGTTAACATGTCAAATGAAATTATTAAAATTAATCATTGGCTCTCCATTAGTTTAGAAAACACAGATTTAAACAAATTAATTTAAAACGACATCTTTGGAGATCTTTTCTGCTGAAGATACTGTTGTCCTAAAAAAGTAAATAAATCTTACTCATACCTTAGGAACGGTGCAGCAAAACATGTTGGCAAATGTTGACTTTTCAAAACCACGGTATACCTTGAAAATGGTTATCGTCCCATGCCCAACCGTGGTTTACAAAAGTCAAGGTTTTAAAACTACCAACATGTTCTGCCATACCGTTTTTGTAAAATTTTTAATTTACGTTTTCTAGTACAACAGTATCTTCAGCAGAGAAGAGATCAAAAGATGCCGTTTTAAATTGTAAAGAAATCTGTGTTCTTGAAACAAATGAAGACAGCAAAAGTCAACGATTCACTTTAATTATTCAGCCTGACACGTTTACTGTAACAAAATAGCTTAAATGTTTCTCAAAATGAAATATATCGTGTTTAAAGTTTTTTTTTACCCAGACATTTCAAAAGAATTTATTTATCCAAGGTTGTGGGCCGGCAGTTTAAGACCCCTGCATTACAGCAATATAAGCATATGATGAATTAATTAATGATGAATTTCCTTGTCCTCATTTGTAAGTCGCTTTGGATAAAAGCGTCTGCTAAATGACTAAATGTAAATGTAAAATGAATAAAAGATCTCTTACATTTCCCCCAATTGGCAAAATACTCGTAAATCCACTTAACATTGGTCTGCATTAACATACTTTTTCTCTTTTCTTAAATTGATTCATGCGTTACTGAAAATAACAACTTTTCTTTTCCATTTTAGACCCAATCAGAGAAACCAAGATGAAGACCCGGGGGAAGCAGAGGAGTAATAACATAAAAAAACCTCTGACCCGCTCGCGGACTAAAAGTAAGTTACTGAAAAGAAGAGCAGAGAGCCCACACACTTGTGAACAATGTGGAGAGAGTTTCAAACGAAAAGGACTCCTTACAAATCACATAAGAGTTCATACAGGAGAGAAACCGTTTGCGTGCGATCACTGTGGAGCGAGTTTCAGGATGAAAGGATATCTTAGGGAACACATGACAATTCACACCGGACTGAGGCCTCACACGTGCGATCAATGCGGACTGAGTTTCAGGCTAAAAGGAAATCTTAGGGATCACATGACTATTCACACTGACGATAAGCCACATAAATGCGATCAATGCGGGAAGAGTTTCAGATGCTTGCGGGGTGTTAAAAGACATCTGCGTATTCATTCTGGAGTCAAATCGTTTGCTTGTGATCACTGCGATAAAACCTTTTTTAGGCCGGATACTCTGAAGGATCACTTAAAAGTTCATACGAAGGAGAAACCGTACCCGTGTTCCTTGTGTGGGAAGAGTTTTAGTCAGATGAGCACTTTAAATATACACCTGAAAAGACACAGGGGGGTGAAGAACCACATGTGCTTTGATTGTGGAAAGACGTTTGTTAGAGATGCGGAGCTAAAGCTGCACCAGAGAGTTCACACTGGACAGTTTTACAAGTGTTCACATTGTAACAAGAAAATAAAATCCGCACAGTATCTGAAAGTACACGAGAGGATGCACACTGGAGAGAAACCGTACAAGTGTTCATACTGTGACAAGAGATTTGTTGATTCAATGACTGTCAGAATGCATGAGAGGACCCACACTGGTGAGAATCCCTATCACTGCCCTCAGTGTGGGAAGAGTTTCAGGTATTCTCGCTCATTACTCTCTCATATAAGAAAGCAATGCAAAAAAGCTCAGTAGCAGTTTCTATTTAGATCCTGCGCTTTCAAGTGTGACTCTTTGTCCTCCTCACGTGAGAACTTTTATTATTATTATTATTTTTCTATTGTTTGTTTTTATTGTCATGTAGAATTTCACAGTGTTATGTGATTTGTTATATTCTGGAGGCTTTTAAGTATGTACTAAATTTATTGTGCTTGCTTGAGTTTCATTATGCTGAAAAAGAGGCTGTAATACTTAATTAATGAAGTGTTTTGAAATTAAACAGTTCTGTATAAAATTAATTGACTTTCTATAGAGCAATATTCTCCCATGATTACAAACACCTTACTAGTACTTTGCAATCTAATAAAATAGTTTAAATAGCAATCATTATTTTGTGAAAATGGTTTGAGTTCAGGCTGGGCGATTAATCAAAGAGTAATCGAAATTGGCATTGCTAACTAATAATTGATTTACCAGGTCATTTTTTCCCCCCATTTCAATTACTTGCCTTACCTTGTGTGGAGTTATGTGACCCTGCTCTGTTTCTTAGATGTTTGCTCACACTTTCTTTTGCAGTCTGAAGTGCGTCAAACATACAAAAGGTTCAATCCCCCCCATTCCATGTAATGTGATGATTGTGAGGGCGCAGGTGAGACATAATTTTTCAAGAGACACTCAAATACATTATGTGCGCTGTGGAATTGGATGTTTTATGAGATTATTTACATTTTTTGCCATTATTTTGTCTTTGAGAATTTTTGGAACTTTTTGTTGATTTTTGTGTTTGATTCAGCGATTGATGGAAAACTAGGGGTTCTGATTAATGAATTGGTTTGATATTGAACAGTTCTGTATAAAATGAATAAGTTTTTAATAGGCCATTAACATCAATATTCTCCTATCATTACAAACAATTTGCTAGTTATTACCAATCTATTGAAATAGTTTAAATAACAATTATTTTTTGAAAATGGTTTGCATTAGGGCTGGACAATTAATCAAAACGTAATCAAAATCAACATTCTAAACCAATAATCGATCAAATTTTTCCAGTTCAATTAAAAAAAAAAGTATTTATTTTTTCATTTACTTACAGCGTGTGGAGTCACGTGACCCTGCTCCATTTGTTAGATGTCTCACACTTGCAGTCTGAAGTACATCAAACGCACAAAACATCCAATTTGTGCCACTGGATGTCTAATCCTATCTTTGCTTTAATTTCACATGTAAATCACTTGTGCTTCATCTGCGTCTGCTTACTGCACAGACTGAAAGTTTCCCATTCCATGTAATGTAATGATTTTGAGGGAGCAGGTGAGACGTCATTTTTTGAGAAACACTCAAATACATCACAAGTGCTGCGTATGCAACGTTTATAAGTCATGTAATGCAGTTAATTGCAAACTGAAATGAATATAATTTGATCATATGTTTTGTAATTAGATGTTTTATAAGGTTATTTAGGTTTTTTTGCGGAATCGTGAAAAACTAGGCGGTCTGATTAATGAAGTGGTTCGATATTAAACAGTTCTTTAAAAAATGAATACAATATCAATATTTTTCTATGATTACAAACAATTTACTAGTTAATTCCAAACTGTTAAAATAGTTTAAATAGCAGTCATTATTTTTTGAAAATGTTTTGACAAAGTCAACATTATGAACCAACAATCGATCAAATTTTTTTGCTATGTACCTTACTGCGTGTGGAGTCATGTGACCGTTCTCTGTTTGTTACTGTTGTGTTACTTTGCACTATATTGACGATGACTGGAAGCTGCGCCAGAGATGCCTCGTGACGGCATATTTTCCATTACATCAAAACATTTCAATTAAAACATTTGTTTACAAAGGATGAAAGAAAAGCACCGTTTAAAATATTGTTTACAGGATATACAAGAGTTATTTTTATTAAAAGGGACACTGATTATTTTTTACTTTTGAAATCATTAAAAATTAATTACTTTTGTTTCCAAAAAAGGCAAGTTAATTGTTTTCACCTTTTTTTTAATAAGAAAAAGTGACTGTTCATTTTAGGCAGTCTGTGTTTAATTTAATTTGTTTAATGGTGATGTTGAATAAATAATCATAGATAGTAGATAGTGTGTGTGTTTTCTTACACTTATTTTAAAATCAAGTAATGCACCCTTCATTCAAAATCTCTGACCTGTAATATGTGAGCATATTTACTGTACAAAACCTGTCAGTGAACTATGCAGGCAAAAAAATTAAATACTTAAATAAAATAATCGTTCACTAATCAGAATCGAGTTAAAATATTGAGTTAATCGAGATTTTAATCTTAGACCAAATCGGCCAGCACTAGTGGACTCTTTGAAGTCACATCTTACCTACTACCACTGTCCATTACTTTATAATACAATATTTATTTAAGTGGTCGAGTCGTTTTTATAAGGTAAGATCTTTTTTGGTGCCTATCGCAGATATCACTATTTATATTCGCGCCATAAATCCTTAAGAAATGTTTGAATGCTTATAAGTCCAAGATGAAGATTGTAAAGAAAGATTTCTTTCATGTGTTGATAAAAGCTGTTAAATGTGGCTAAAGCCTTAAACATCGTTAACTGTTAACAGTTACTTTCGTCAGAAGGTATAGCTAATTAACAACTGTATTATTACCGTCAGCTGGTCTTTTACTAATTGAAAATGTGACAACGTCTCCACCTGCTGGCCGAAACAGGTTTTTTTTTTAAACAGCTGGCAATGTAATGTCCACTGCCAAGTGCATAGGTATCAAACTTGATTCCTGAAGGGCCACAGCTCTCCACAGTTTTGCTCCAACCCTAATCAAACACAGCCGGTTTTATTAAGCAGGTGCGAGTTGGAGGTGGTTGGAGTTAAACTATGCAGAACTGCGGCCCTCCAGGAATTGAGTTTGAGACCACTGGCTAAGTACTTTGTCAAAAGCTGTAAAACCTGGCGCAAAACAGAGCTTAAGATTTCCAAATACTTCCCACATGCAAAGTCTGGCTTTCTGCTTAAAGTCTGATGTAGTTCTAAGCATTTTTCTGCTTTCATTATATAAACATGAATGCTGCTGTTTATTTTTGTGATCATGCGCACTCTGAGATCAGCTCTGTCCAATGTTTTATAAATGAGGCTCTTTGTTTTAATGTGCTGACTTGATGAATCAACAGCATTCAGTTTTGTAATAATTTAGGGTTTGTTCATGTGAAACTTTCCAACTGAAACGCATTGCTTTACAATTAGATACATGTCACACAGGTTTCAGATGTGCTTTAAAACAAGATCCCTTGTGAGAAATTTGTGAATGTCATTTGACTTGTAGGGTAGGCATTAAGAAAATACATGAAAAGCTCTTTAAAAATGAAAAGTACTTCAAAAATGAAAAAAAAAAAAAAAAAAAGCAAGTTTATTCACCGGCATGGTTTTATATGAGCACAATACTTAGGAAGTAATTCCCACACAATACTCCGTACAATACATGGTAAGTAATCAGTGCTTAAGTATGTTACAAAACAGGAAAATGCAGATTTCTAGATAAAAGTAGACGTTACATGACCTCAAATGTGTAGACATGTCTAGTCTAGAAAATATTTAGTTTTTCTTGTGGTATTTAAGCGGATGTGGACTTTGCTGAAGACTCTAGAGATGAATGGATAGTCTAAAGGTATTTAACATGGCTTTATGTCCTGTTAGTACTGAATACAAGAGTTTCCTCTGATGTTTGATGAATAAAACATTGGTATTGAAAAAAAAAAACATCAGTGATCAGTTAACGGATTTCGCTACATATATTTCATTTAAAACCCGTTCCTTGTCCAGCATGAATTAATACCAACAATACTACAAAACAAACAATTGCCGAAATGAGCTTCCATGAACTGCATGTTAATTCATAAAAATTAAATGTGAATATGCAGGTGACTGTTATGTCATGAGTGTTTTATCATTAAAAACATTGTACACTGTGCTCCTTAGTTTGTTGCGATGCTTGAGTACACTGTACCACCTTCTGCTTCAGCCTCCTGTGAAAAAACAAGAAAAATTCAAAAAACTATACTTGAGTTTTTGTCTTGTTTCTAGTCCAAATATTTAAAGTCTAAGAAAAAGAATAAATAAAGAGTGATTTTATATATCCCACCAGTGCTGATATAAAGCCATTTCGCACTGCTGCGAGTGTGATATTGCTCATATATATATATATATATATATATATATATATATATATATATATATATATATATATATATATATATATATATATATATATACACACACATATATATACAGTTAAAGTCAGAATTAAGAATTATTAGCCCCCCTGAATTATTAGCGCCACTGTTTATTTTTTTCACCAATTTCTGTTTAATGGAGGGAAGATTGTTTCAGCACATTTCTAAGCATAATTTTTTTAAAAACCTATTTCTAATAACAGATTTATTTTATCTTTGCCATGATGACAGTAAATAATATTTTACTTGATATTTTTCAAGACACTTCTATACAGCTTAAAGTGACATTTAAAGGCTTCACTAGGTTAATAAGGTGAACTAGGCAGGTTAGGGTAATAAGGCAAGTTATTGTATAATGATGGTTTGTTCTGTAGATTATTGAAAAAAATAGCTTAAAGGGGCTAATAATATTAAACTTAAAATGATTCATAAAAAATGTAAAAACTGCTTTTATTCTAGCCAAAATAAACAAATAAGGCTTTCTCCAGAAGAAAAAAATATTATCACATACTGTGAAAATTTCCTTACTTTTAAACATAATTTGGGAAAAAAAAATAAAAAAAAATTCAAAGGGGGGCTAACTTCAACTGTTTTCACTCATATAAATATAAGCATGCATTTCACAAAACCACAGTCCACAAAATCATGAAGATTTTGTGAAAAGTGGCAGCAGAACATTTCACATCTGAAGCCAGTCAGCTTGCAACATGTATGACGTGATCTGCACACACACATGTACATGATAACTATTTGCACACAAAAAAGCAACGAGGAAATCACAAACCACATCAGACAAAGACAACATCGAGAACATTTCTCTCCTGATGTGTTTACAAATACAGTAAAACAGCACCACTAGAACAAAACAAGAGCTGATCTGGCAGTAATGCATAAATGGTAAGCATAAAGCCGTTAATTAATTATTTACATGTCATTATTCTGTATTTTTTGTTAAGCAAGTGCAAACAGCAGCTGTTTTATGTAAAAATGTTCTGCAGGCAGCCCGCAGAAAAATTTTATTATGTTGGTTCATTTTACATTGTCCAGAAGTCTGCCTTATTATTTTTAAAAACAAGATCAAAAGCAGTGGTTTGATAAAAAAAAAACACTTTCGCACTTTCAGAAACATAGAACTGTCAGGTTTAGTTCCAGTATTTCCATGTTAGCCTGGTACTGTGTGGTACGATTACAAATCTTTCTCAGCCTAGAATTCTTAAAACAGTTGTGCTGGTAGCAAGTGACTGTGTCTAACTCTGTTATCTGGCTACCAGTTTTTTTCATAGCTGGCTAAGGGGAAACATGCTATTTAATCAAACAGCTTGTTCAAAATGAAAAGAGAACCATGAGACCAATATTGGGTCTGATGAAGAAACAATTGCTCTTAAAGATATTCGGATAAAGTTCAGCAACAGCTGGAGGTTACAAGGAGAATCTCTAGCAGAGAAGCATGCTACTTCCAAAATCACATACTTCCCTACTATATAGTTTGTGAAAATTGTATGCGAGGCAAGTAGTATGCCTGAATTCATAGAATCCTAAAAAAAAGTAGACGAGAAGTACCTCGATAACCTTAGTTGTGAAATTGTGAAAATCAATTCATGTTTATTTGTATAGCGCTTTTACAATGTAGATTGTGTCAAAGCAGCTTAACATAGAAGTTCTAGTAGACTGAAAATGTGTCAGTCCAGTTTTCAGAGTTTAGTTTAGTTCAGTTCAGTTCAGTGGGTTTAATTTTCAATACTGAAAGTCTAAACACTGAAGAGCAAATCCATTGATGCGCAGCTCCACAAGTCCCAACCAAGTAAGCCAGTGGCGACAGTGGTGAGGAATAAACTTCACCAATTGATGAAAGTGAAAGAGGGAAAAAAGGGTGCATCTAAAGGACACTTTACTATCCCACAAGGCCACACAAAATTTATGAATGGGAGTGAAGTGAGAAGTGACACAACTGACGCAGGTCACGTGATAATGAGCAGCAGATATAGTGGATCCAAAATCCATTCTACTTAGATTAATACTACTGCACTTTTCAAATATAGTACCTATATGAGTACTGTGCAATTTTGGATGCAGTTTTAGGCCCCGATTACACTAATACGTTTTAGTTTTGAAATGACGTTTTAGAATGAAAACGAACCACGTCTACACTGATGTTTCATTTGGCATTTCTGAACAGCTCTCCGTCCACATTATACTGCTGAAAACGCACATCACATGACCACACACATTCTGGCATGTGCTGCAGCGCATGTGCCCGTCTGAGCTCCAGGCAGTCAGCGGGTGCTTTGAGCACAAAACCCCAGGTGAGAGCTGTGCTTGTCAGACTGTTCATTAAGAATCTTCCGCTGGATCCAATCTCACTATATTTGTTAAATGTGATATTTAATTCATCTTGTTGTCTATATCTAACAACATATACCCCCACTTTGGTCTTTTGAATCTACTACTTGTTCTCAGGTAACGTGTTTTGGCTGAGCACAAAGATAAGTAATATATTAATGTAAACCACTGATTTACACTGATTGATGTACACTGATTCTGCATATTTGACTGATTGCTTGCCTTTTATTTTATAATGTATAAACTTTTGTACTTTATACTTTTATAATGGCCATTATTGATTATTGAAACTGATATTCAGCAAAAGGGATAGCGTTTCATATTTTTCACTGAAAATGAAAGGAGGCAGTAATGTTATAGGCTGTTTTGTTATAAGTATGTATACAACGAAGTTGGTGCTCATATAAATATGTAGTTAAAAGATGCCTTAACATTTTTGCTGTCTGTTAAGTTGTTAATATCAAAATGAAAATAGGCAGTTCCTTATATTATGTTTTCATTTTATTGTTATGATAGTGAAACAATGTAGTTAGGGTGATGTGAATGACATTATTCACTGTTCACAAACTTACAAAGTTTGAACTTTAAAGGAAAGGATGCAAGACTGAAATTTGTGTACTTTAATATTGAGGAAAAAGCCCCAATCAAATGTCTGCAGTTCCGCCTCCGTTTTCAAATGTCTCTGTTTTCCCCCATCCTGCACTAACATGGAGCAGCAGCATTTTAAGATGAAATCTACATTTTCAGCATTTCCAAAATTCTCCGTTTTCAGCGCTCAAAAACTCTTGGGTAGTGTGAACGGAAGGCGGAACCATAGTAAATGCATGCGTTTAGTAAAACTAAAAAATATTGGTGTAAATGGGGCCTTGGTCTCTGTTGACATACATATCCTCTCAGCATCTGTTGGTACACCCGTTGTCGCCATTTGAGTCAAGAGCAGTGTCCTTTTTTCTGTTATTTAATAAATAGAATATCAAATAAAAAAGGTGCTCAAACGTTACTGTTAACTCTTGTGTTATGAAGGCAAATATTGACGCATATCAAAAATCTGTCATCAGCACCACAGGACATTTCAACTGTATCCGTGCTAAATCCCAGATAGGAGTGGGTAAACAAAAGTATCTTTTGTTTCTAAATGACCGTTATGACAGTTGGATAAGACAGCAGGTGTGTTTACTAACTGCCAGCCTAAGTTGTTCTGCCAGTTGCAAATTCAAGTAAATCTAGTTCGATTTGTTAAACTGGTGGGTAACAACACATTTTCTGCAACAATAGATGTAGCTTAAATAGTCAGTGATGCTTAGAAGGCTTTTCTGTTGAATAAGGGTGCTGTATGTAAGTTTCTGACTTTATTAAAGCACAAAAAAAAAAACATAATATATTTGCAGATATTTACGAAACATGCCAAGTGAACATGTTTATCTGAAAAACAATGCTGAAGTCAGATATGCTGCTTTGAAAATGTATGTTTCGTGTGGGAATGGCTGTATTTGTTTTGCTTATTTTAACCTGCCCAATGCCAGTTTAGCCAATTATACTTTAGCACCCTGGCTTGCCTTGGTGAAAAACTATACATTTCATTTAATCATTCTTTCAATCATTCAATCATTCATTCATTCATTCAGAAAGGCTCTGAAAGCATGCGTTCCAGGCCGAAATGCGACCTTTGCTGGACTGTAGCAGACTCCAAAATGAGAGACCTACTTAGAGTTCCACATGAGGTTATTAACGAACAAATTATATAAATATTACAAACATAAACATTAGGTGAGTAGGTTACGTTGTAACCCGTGTCCTAACAACACACTTTGTGATGAGGATCCAGGA